TGTTAGTGTCGAGAGCCGGCTCGACAGCCAGGGCACCTGGGTGATCAGGCCAGGAACCCACCGAACAGTCCCCGAGCAGGATTGATCGGCACGAGGAAATGAGAAAAGAAAGAATGGCATAGACACCAAAGTTGGGATTAGGAGGTTCACTGACTATGGATGGCAGCCAGTGACAAACTTATTAAAAGGCATATTGCTTATATAGGAAGCAAGTTCCCCTTTTACCAGGAATAAATCTTATCTAAGCAGAGGGGATTTGGTAGGGGGTTTTGAGAGAATGAGGAGCCAATGTTCCTGACTTAGGGATTTGGAGGTGAGATAATCTCTTGGCAACAAGTTACTGATTACATAGCATAGACTAATAATATATTTTAATTAAAGTGAAACTGAGGCAAATAGTATCTGTCAGCAAGTCCATGATGGAAAAGTCCCAAAGTTCATAAGTCCATGGTAGAAGGTCTCAAAGTTCATAAGTCCGTAGTCAGTGACATCTGAGGGTCTGGTGGTTGTGGTTTAGGAACTTCTGCTTTTCCAAGGCACAGGAGATGATCTGGGTGTTGTTGGGTTACTTGTTTTAGCAGTTCACCTTTTGCTCCTCAGCTAACAAGCAGTTTTGTAGTCTTTTCTTCAGCACACAGAACTTGGGGGTCTTTAACCAACTGCCATTCTCTACCTGCAGTCAACCCAGAGTCTCAGTACTCTGAGACGGCTCCCAACATGTTAGCTCTAATGTTCACTTTTATATCCTGTGCCTATTCCTTCTAAAGTCACCCCTTCACCCATTCATCTGTTCTTACATCAACAAACATGTAAAGCACACATGTATATAGCACGTCTGCTCTGCTGGATCAGCAGGATGTGGCCCTGACTCTGGAGAAGTTCCTAGTTTCGTGGGGACAGCAATGTAAGCAAGTCATTACAGCCCAAGGTGTCCAGGGTCAAGGCCAGAAGGGGCATGTGAGACCAGCACCAGATTTGGAGACATAAGTTACCCTCCTGCAAGAATGTGAAAATGAAAGGGAAAATATCCTGTGCTTAGAGGAAAGGAGGAAGGCCATTCTCGCAGAGGCAATGGCACAGGATAAAGCATGCCATTAGATAATTCAGGCAGGAAAAGTGAGCACAAGAATGAAGATGGGAGACCAGCTCTGTATTCGAGGCCCAGAGAGCGAAACCTAGGGGGTCTAGTCACTGCCTGGATGTAAGGGGAAGCAATGAAACAAAAGCATGAAAAAACAGGGCTCCTCAGACACTCCTTGGGACAAATGAGTGTGAGTGTGATGGGGCATTTACTGAGACAGAAGATACAGAAGAGGCAGCATGGAAGGAGATCAGTTCCAACATGGATATGCTGAATTGGCGGTGCCTGAGACCTCACGTGGGTGGCAGCTGGCCATCAGGAAAAGAGTTAGTTCAACAGAAGGGTTTGGGTTGGGGCACAGAATGTAGGACTTTGAACTTATAAATGGCAGCTGAAAGCAGGGTAAATGGGTGGTGGGAGAGCGGCCAAGAACAAGCATGGCATGCGGAGGGGAAGTGGGAGCTGAGAGGGAAGAGAGGCTGCCTGGAGGCAACAACTCTGGAAATGCAGAGAAAGAAGAGATTTAGTGATAACAGGACAGTGGGAGGTGGGTGTCAAAACATCTTCCTTTGTGACTTGCACCAGGACACCCCCTGCAATCCCTGTCTGGGTCCTCTGGTTTGGAGTAGCTCTGTACATTTCATCTGCTTGGCTGTCCCCCCATATCAGTGTGGGGATCACTGATAACAGGTGTTATCTCAGAGCTAGTGTGGCTCTTCATCAGAGGACAAGGCCCTCCTGTGTTGCTGGGTGGGTGTAGAGAGTGGTCTTTGGCAGAGGTGGGGTCCTTTGCTCATACTCCCTTGTCCCCAGACATCATCAATGAGCTGTGTCAGCTTCATTGTTTGTCTCCATGTACCCAAGATACAGACAGAAGTGATCCTGAGAAACCCCATCATGTGAAGAAAACTTCCAGTGACTTCATAGCTGTGCTCCCTGCCTCTCTGGGCCTTCCCTGAGTGACAGCGATGCTGCCACACATCCTTCTAAATACCTTGTGCATTATCTGTTGAGACCTCTGGGGATGAACAAAGGCCCCAGACCTCCTGACTTATGAGGCTGATTTTCTTGGCATTTTCTTTATTATTTCTTCCTCTTTGTTCCCTTCAGAAGGCTGGGAATTTGGCTGAGCTTCCTCATAAGCGTGGGCTGGGCGATGTCCTCTGGTGCCATGGGACATTAAATAAAAATTCAATGAATAATAAGCAATTTTTAAAATAAGGGAGAGAGATGACACTGTTTTTCATGCCAAGAGACAGTGCAGTGTCGTGACATGAGCAGCAGCTCTGCTGTCCTCAGCCTTGGTTTCAAACTCCCCATCTGCCACCCCCTGGCTGTGTGACCTTGGCACATTACTGAACTCTTGAATATTCACATCTGAGAAAACCTTTCAGGGGTGTGGTGAGGGCCAGCAATTATGTATGCAAAGTGCTTGGCCTCTAATAAGTGCTGAATACCCTTTCTTGGACATCTATCATCACAGTCAGAATCCAAACAGGTCCCATAAAATGTGAGCATGGGGATATTCAAGTTAAATGACAGACATCTGGGTTGACATGGGTTCTTTGCATGTGCCTTCCTTCTTCTTGTTTGTCCGTACACCTTCTCTCTGACCTGTTCCTGACTGCCGGACTTTCCTGTGGGCCCTTTCCCGCCCTGGCCTGCCCACCTCCTCTCCACACACCCCCTCCTCCCCGCCATACATACACACACATCGTGCCCATTTATTCCAGTGTTAACTAATTTAGGGGCCTGGCTCTGGGCTCCAGCTGATCTGGTCCCCATCAACACTCTAGCTATTTCCTGGCACATGAGGTGTGACAGTGCTATTGGCCCCTCACCTCCAGGGCAAGAAGACAGGGTATGGAATAGGAATTCTTTCTAAACATCCTTTTAAATCCCTGAGCACTTCCAATCATTAAACAGAAAAAAAATAATTCTGGGAGTTGAAAATGGCATTTATGTAGATTCAACTGCATGCCAGGGAACATGAGGGCAATTTGTCACCACCTTGTGAGGTAAGTCTTGTTAGTTCCACTTTACGCATATGAAAATTGAAGGTAAGAGAGAGTAAGTATTTTTCCCAAGAGTTGAATCCGGGATTTGGAACCCCCTCAGTCTCAGAGTTGCTTTTTGAGGAGTAACCAGGAGGAAGCCCATTCCTGGGACATTATGAGTACAGAAGTCCTGCATTCCACTGCCTCTCCACTTCCCACCACTTCTGTTAGCCATACAATCATCTGTTGGGAAAATACTTTGTTGGGGAAGAAGGAGCAATAGGAGAAAGAAGCAAGACTCTCCTAAGTGGCTGGTAGCAACAAAGGACTTGAACTCTGCTATTTTTTTGGTGCTATGCTGTGCAGATATAAATGGTAAGAAATAGCCCTAGGAAAAATGAGCTTATAAAAAAATTTATCTGATGATGACTTCAGTAAAACACAATTTCCATGGATGGATGGAGATGCATTAGCCAAGAGGCAGCTGTGCCTTTCCTGAGGTTCCCCATGGGCAGTCAGAGCCCTGTAGGTCTGGGTGGGAGCCTCTGGAAATGGGCCCCGTGCATCTTCCCAGTGGGTATCAGCAGGCCTGACAGAAGGAGAGACATTCGGCCCCGGTGGGGCTCTCTCTCTCAAGATTCTTCAAACCCAGGTTGACTGAGACGGTTTGGAGGGGCAACTTGTCCTGGTCCCTCCTCTGGGAAGTCTCCATCCCTCACCATTTGAAGACATCAGATTAAAACCAAAAAAAATCTCTAATATAGTGGTTTTTATAGATTAACACTGAAATGAAAATAGACTTTAAAAAAAAATCTCACAGAAAAGAAATATGCTGCCTAAGAATAGTTCCATAGTTTCAGAAACCCAGAGCATTTACGTAAATGTGTTATTTCCACCAGGTTGTTTTTCTTTTCTGTGGACAAAAATGCTTCTATTTCCATCAAATCAGCATTTCCTAACAAATGAAACTCATACTACTATGATTGGTACCTGAAATGATTAAAAATTTTAAAGATTATGTATATATTTGAAAATATTACCGCAGGTTCATTTTTCCAAACCACATAAACTCATGTACAAAAACGAAATCTTATATCTTTAAACTGTACTTACCTTTTATCTTGAGCCCCCATTCTGCCTAATACTAGAAACATTAATCTTCTCATCTCCAAGGTTTAGCATTAAGAGTATAAAGACAATATACATAATTTAGTGTTTGTAGATATGTAAGAAACACTGTAGTAACAAAGTAGGTTTAATTCAATTGTAGAGCTGTAAAGCAATGTTTTTCTCTTCAAAGTGGGGGGTCATTCGCATTTAGGCAATAGACTACTCACATTAACAAGGCTGGATAGCACAAGTAATGGAAATGTTTTACTGTTAAAGTATTAGGCCACTTTTTGGTGTTCTGTGGATACTTAATGACTATCCCCTTGGAGTTTGGGCTGAGATGTCTTGCTAAGTCTCCAAGCCCTCTCTGCACGCCCAGATTCTTACCCTCCAGTCATATGACATGTGTGCACTTGGTGTGGTATATGCCCCCAAATAAAGAACAGGGTGGGTCCTTTGAGCACAGAACACGAAGCCAGCACACAGGGTGTGGCAACTAGAGTGGGGCTTTTTGTTAGATCACAGGAGAAAACACTCAAGGACAGAAAGTCCTTTCTCTAAATGGTTCCCATACCATATCTGGCTTTTCTTTCTGCCAGACTGAAGGGGTTGATTTGCTCAAACTGACATGTGTCAGGAGTTTGGAAGGGTTTCTAATTGTTCAAATCTCTGGAGAAAACCCCTTAACATTTGTGTGTCCATCTCTGCTCAGCTGTTATATTTAAGTACATTTTTCAGGTTGTTGTCATTGTGTTTTGTACATTATACTTGTGTTAACACCTTCTTTCTCTTTTTGAGGCAGTAAGCTCCTTAAAGACCAGTCCCATTTTTTTTGTTTTATTGTAAACAAACTGCATGAGAGTTAAGAAGTATGGGAAATTTGGACATTCAAAAGCTCCTTAGAAATAACTATTTGATCAGTCAAACAAATGGTTCAAGGAAAAGGGTGGGACTGTTCCCGTAAAACCACCAGACACTTAGAATAACCCACCCATCCCTCAGAATTTGCCATTATTACCAATTTGCTCACCATCTTCATCTCTCCTGACCTGGGACCACAGCTTGGTTCAGTGTTTCAGTGGAAAGAGCAAAATCCACTGTACTGAGTCCTGTAAGTGAAATTTTTTACCTTCAAGTATATTTCAAGTATTTCTCATAGAATCCTATAAGTAAAAAAATATGACTCCCCCGTCCTCCTTAATTTAGGTTCTCCCTGGTTGCTGTCCCACCAAACAAATTAGAACCAGTTTTAATACTTGATAAGTTATCATCAAAACTAGAGAAATCCAAGGGAGCTGCATTCAGGCAGTGGCATTATTCTTTTCAAAAAACATATGTTGAGATACTACTACATTTTTGGATAGGGCATTTCTAAGATGGAATACAACGTGGACCTTATCAAGAAGCCGATATCCTAGCAGATCTAGAAGTGTATTTTTTTTCATTTTTAAAAACTACTTGCAAAGCAATAAAGAACAAAATAAGCTTTATAAAAGAAGTAACATCCAGATGTTTTAGTAACATAAACAAGGAGGAAAGGTGCCTAAGGGAGACCTGTGAATGTCTAATAAGTGACAACTACAGCACTATTCAGGGCATAGATGGGAAAGTTATTACTCAAGAATTTTCCAGCTGATGTCCATATTTCAGAGCACCAAGAACATCCAGGAGATCCTCTGAAAATACTAAAACACAGCAACTCTCTTGTATCTCTCTCTCATTTATGTCATCTCTATATCCTTTTATATTATGAATTTTTTTATCTCCTTGTTTATGTCAGACACTGTGCTGCACACTTTACAGGAATACAAAGAAACCTAAACAAAGTCTCGATTTCCAAAGTGTTTTGACTAAAATCCAAAGAACACTTCCAGACAGAGGGATGACATTACCTGGAGGATCACTGTGGTGAACTACAATCATCTGGTTCCAGTCTGGCAGGCAGAGAAACAGCATCCCCAGCAAAGACCAGACTCTCCATAATAGACTCACAGTGATCTGCCTCCAGAGAGGCTGCTGTGCAGTCCAGACCAGCAAAGTACTCATTTACTGTGAGGAAGAACTCTCCACGAATTGTACCTTCCGAGGTGCCTGGGAGAGACAATGGGAGGTCAGAAGGTTGCTTGGTAATGATGGGTTTAAAGAAAGGAGAAGTAGATTGTCTTGAAGTATATTGTAACCAGGTGACAGTAGAGCTGGATGAAACTCTGCAGCAGGTGATCAGAAACCCCTGTTCTCCAGAGGCTTTGTCTCCCCTCCTGAAGAGCTGGGCCAGCAGTGCCAACCTGCCTCTCCATCTTTCCCATTTTCTCCACCCTATTGGCTCATCTGATAAGAGAGTCTTTCCTTAGATTGGTCCATGGTTTGGTTAATTAAACTAAGCCCAGCTGCTAATTACATAGTCTTAGAGATATTATTTTCCTACACTTACGTATTAATATGCATATTTTCAGGTTTTTGGCAAGGTAGGAGTTGGGGGCACCTCACTAACATCCTTATAATTCACATATTTTATAACCCAGTTGAATAAACAAAACATGCAAATGTCACTTATACTCCTGCTGTCTGTAGAGTACAGCTCTCTTCCACATGTGTTATCTTATGAATCCTCACAAACTTTGTAGACAGTGGGAGCTAACATTTGTTTTTCACTTCCTATGTGTCATTTTCTTCAGCTGTTTTACATTTCTTATCTCATCTAACCCTTGCCCAATCCTACAACATCAATATAATTTTCCTGGTTTACATGGGAGAAAATTAAAGCACTGAGAGCTGCCAAAGCTTAACTAAGGCCAGACAGGTGGTGAACGCCTAAATTAAAGTTAGGTGGAACTCCCAACACTCCACTCCCAACTTTGAGTTCAGAGATGTTCAGCTACTCTCATGAAACCTGAACCAATCCACACAGACAATATATGAACAGACCAGTGAGTGCTAATCTCTAACAGGAAAGAGTATAGGAGATCAGAATTGGGAAGGCTGGGCCATGCACAAAGGAGTAAAACTGTAAAACAAAGGTCAGCAAAAGGACTGTGATGATAAAAACTATAAGTGTGATGGCTAATATTTTAATTATCTTATTATATGCCTTTTCCAAATAAACATCTAGGAGGAGCTGAAATGGAAATGTTCATATTAAATATATATGGATTTGCCTGTTGCCTCCCTTTAACCAGTGATATTAATTGCTATTCTTTCCTCAAACCCAAAGCTAATTTTCAATGAAGTTAGACAAAAATAAAATTCATTTAGCATGAATTGGTCCTTTTGTATTCTTTTGAGCTCAAATTAATTTTGTTATTGGTCTGTGGTCCTATGTTTCAGAGGTCAGAAATACAGCCCTTTTTTCTCTTTCAGTAATCCCAGAACGTCTCAAAGGAGAGTGACTGGTTTCATTGGCAGGCAGGGCAATGCACAGGTCTTTTACCAAGTGTGACAGGCGCCACTGGGCGGGGCCTTTCTCCAATGTGCCACTTAGCAGGTGTCACCTGGTCCACCCGGAATCTAATGAGAATCAGGGAGACTCTTGGAAGCTTTTCAGCTCTATTCAGGGTTTGCAAGGACCAGCTGATAAGATGCAAGTGTGATTCTGTGAACAGTTAAAGAGATGAAAGGAAGCCTTTCAGATTAAATAAGATTTAGGAAATAAAAGGATTAGCAGGACACAAAAGCTAAATTTACTGGTTTATTTAGCCAGTGCAGTGTGGCATGCTGGGATGTGGGACATCCTGAAAGAGATAAAAGAGACTAACTTAGGAGGTCGCAGGGCAGCAAAGATGAGCAGGGTCCCCCTGAAAGCCTGCTAAATCTTCTGATAATTGAAAATGAGCCAGAAAGGGATACTCTTTTATTACTAATTCTGACCCCTCCAATGAGTAATGAGAAGAACTACAATGATGAGCCTTCTCATGAATTGGGGGTCAGGGCTCAAATAAGCTTAGGAAGTAGAAAGCTCATTTTATGACAAAGTTTTAGTCACAGACTATTTCTATCTTAAGCAACAAAACAATGTTTAAAATTGGAGGGTGGGGGATTTGATATCATTTGTGGGTAGCAAAATTCCCAAATATTCTCTTATGTTTGTTGTCTTTGTTCAGTATTTCTCGTCTCCCAAATTGTGGAACTAGAAATCCCAAAGCTAAAAGGTGTAAAGGCATGCTTGGTCTAACTGCCTCTGTAAGTGGGTGTCCTCTCCAACGCCCTAACAAATGGCCCTCTGACTTAGGCAAGGCCCCTCCTGACATGGGCAGAATTGGTGTGCAGTAGAGGCAAGCTCCTTTTCTGTAAAACATCACACCCAAATCTTCATTATCATTGGTTCTTGTTCTGCAAGATAGAGAAACCTAGAACAAGTCTACCCTCTCACTTACATGATTGCCATTCAAACATCTGAAATAGCTAGTACGATGCCCTTAATATTCCCTTTTCCTGGTTGAACTTGTCACTTCTGTGGGTAATTCCTATTATTTGATTTTTGGTTCCTTCACTGGGACACTGAAAGGGGGGCACCGCTTTCCACACTGCTCTCCTTGTGGTGCCTGGAATCACGGTAAGATTTCCCTCTCTAATCAGGTATCTTCTAATCCCTGGATCACTCACTTTACTTGATAAGAATATCCCATGAAGCTACCTCATCAAAGTTGTATTCTCTTAGGGTGAGGCTACAAAAACTGACACTAGAAACCTACTCTAAGAGCTGTAACTAAAATATGTTTCCTCATCTAGTCATTTGCTATGCATCAGACATTTATTGAGCATCTGCTAAGTATCTACTGCCTACTTAATGCTAGGAATAGGTGATAAAGACAAGGTCATGGCCCTGGAGGAACTCACAGTTTAGGAAAGGAAACAGACACGTAAGTCATCCTAATTAAATATGATAGAGGCTATACAAGAAGTAGGTTCCAGAGATCAGAGTATATGGCCTATCTGAATGTTCAGCAGGGAAACAATGAGGGAAAGCTTTCTCAGGAGGAGGGAATATGCATATAGAGTTATGAAGGTGGGTAGAAATTTAGCATATTTAGAAATCCACAAGTAAAGTTGAGAGGCTTTCAATCCAAAGTGAATTGGCATGTGTGAGGGTGGCGGGGGAGGAGAGGAGAGGAGAGTAGGGAGAGAGATGTGAAAATGACATCCAGCCCTGACCTGGGGGTCTGATGGAGATGACATGTTTAACTGAAACTAGAGAATTAATACGAGATGAAGATCAGATTTAGAACAGGTGGCAGGACAGAAGAGCATATCCATATATGTACCTGTTATTGTTAAGGGTGATAAAAGTCTCCTTTCATTTCACCACCTCATTATTCCTATTCATCCATATATTGAACTCATTTCCCTCTGATCATAGTTTCAAAGCTATAAAAATATATATAAGCTTCCAAAAATAGGAGTGTACTGAGTCAAAGTATATCCACGCTAAAAGAGACTTTGGCAATTAATTAATAAAGTGATTAGCAAAAGCATCTTTCCTTCCATGTGGAAGCTCAACATGTATGGCAGGTGTGGGGAGCACTTTGCCTGGTTGGGGAAGAGGGTGGTCAGGTCCCAGCCATGACCCTCCCACCTTTCTCCCTTGTCCCTCCTCACTCCTGACAGCCCTGCCCGTCACCAGGAACACAGTCCAACACTTTCCTTTCACAGATAATGAAACTGAAATGAAAGGCAGGAGCCAAATGAAGAGAAAAGCTGGAAGGACCTATCAGAGATGGGCCAGAAACACACACTTTTCTTAGAAGAACTATGTACAGATACAGGTGAGTCATTCCTGCCATCTTCTCTAAAGAGTTAAATCAGTAGATTGCCTGAAGGCATTTGCCAAGAGTAATTAACGAGGGACTAGTGTAGGCAACGGGTTGCTCTGTGTCTTCTGTAATTGAGCCATAAATCTAAACTCCACAGACATAAGGCAAATGATGCTCATGGAGTCATTGTGGGTCTGTGAGCATAAGTAAGGGACAAGTACAAAAACAGGGGCTGTAAAAAGGAAATGTAGAAATGATGGCTTTCACTTTTTTTCTGAAAACCATCTAATATAAAGAGTCTCATTTCCTTCTATTTAGGCATTCTATCCAAATATTCAACACTTGCATGTTGGCATGATTCTGAGTTCTAAACTCCTCCCTCTCAAATCACATAAGGTCCCAGGTCCCTCTCCCAAAGAACATGCTGTGGGGTCTTTATGTGCAACTCAGTTCTCTCCTTCCTCACGCAGGAGCAGTGCTGCGAAGTGCTCTCTGTCTTCCCGGCAGAAACCTTGACTCCTGCAGGGCTGACCCCGGCCTCCATTTCCTGTTCCTGATCCCCAGTCCCTCTGTCACTCCTTATCTCCTACAGGAATAACCAGCAGCCTGCCAACATCAGAGCTGAAATCCACATGGTGGACAAGAGACATGGACAGTTACAGACTGACACCACAATGGAAACCAATGGGCAATTTGCAGTAGGGGAACTTTCTGGACCTGATAAGCAGATCCTATCTTTATTTAAATTTTAAAAACTTTTATTTAAATTAATTTAAATTTATTATTGAATTATTATTACATGTTAAAGTTATTAAATAAAATTTTTAATTATTTTAAATAAATTATTATAAAATTTATTTAAATTGTTGATGCTTCATTCATCATGACTTTTTTGCATTAATTTTGTCTTTTAAAACATCGCATTAAATATGATTTATCTTGATTACTCGTTTTTTGGGGAGGTCATTTTTTGACATTCTCCTTAAATTTTACTACAGTGGCAAGTGCCTCACTCTCCTTGCTCAGGCCCCTGCCCTGAGCCTAGGAGCAGCCAGGATGCTTTTTTGTTTCCAGGGGCAGGTGTTCCATGACTTCACTGCTGTACAGAGTGGCTTGAACGATTTTGTTTCTGACATTGTTAAGAGTGGAGACAATTGTCATTCTATTCCCCTTCGTCTCTGCTGTGGCAGCAAGAAGTTAACTTAGGGAGTCCTTTGGGTCTTTCTCCAGCGACTATACCCACCGTAGGAATCTCTTATTAATTCAGAGAGTGGTTCCCTGAGCTGAAGTTCTCCCAACTTCTCTCAGTTGGCAACTTCACAATTCTCTTGCTGTTCCCTCCAT